AGTACTTATAATCTGGGCCAGAGGGAGAGACTATTATAGGGATGTTCAATTCATTTTTAGCCTTGTCTTGGCTCTTTCTTAAATAAAAACTAATACTACTAGAAAACACGATGGTGGTTGTTTTTTCTAACGTTCTTCTGGAGCTTTGAAGCTCAAAATAGGCTCTGTAGGGCAGTCCCTTAAAAAGTGAGGGTCTGATAAAGATTTTCATAAAGCACTGAACAATCCATAAAAAAGATTTTACAGTATAAATGACTCAGTGCTGTGACAGAAATCCATATAGCGCTCGTTTGGTCCACTTCTCTATAGACAAATGATTGACCTATTCCCATCAGGCATCCACTACAAGACCTGTGCTGCTAACATTAGGTGGTGAAGTGCTACTGTGGACTGTGATTTTTAAATGTGCCCAAGCAAATTAGGGTTCCCAACCGCTCCACTGTGAACAAAACCTCTGGCTAGGTGGTTCATGGCACTCATTTATTGTGGTGTTTGAGACAATCAGCTAGGAATCTGGGGCAGTTCATCTTCCCTCACCCAACATTCAGATGATTTCTAAGGACCCAGGTTTCAGAAGGCTTATGGGAGGAATGAATTAAAAAGATATCAAGCTGCGCACTGAAAGTTAAAGCCTACCAAACCTGGGAAAATCTCAGCCATTGCTTTCCTCAATGAAAAAGCTGAGCGTGAAACAGAAAACATTATGGATAATAAAAAGAACCAATTGAATAAATAAGGTTTTGCAGCCCAGCTAAGCAGCAGCCTTGCTTTTCAATCACATTTCTTAATCACTCCCTTTCTTTAAAATCTCTCAATTCGCAACAACTCTCCTTCACTGAGTCACTAAAACCAACTTGCTCAATATTTTTTTTTAATCTATCTTTAACAACATACCCAGTACGCTCATCTACTATTTCATTCTCTGTAACTAGCTCCCCAGGTGGTGACGTTGCAAACCCCAAGAAATTAAAGTCAATGCAATTCACACAGTTGTAAAGTACAGGGTGTATCTAAGGATTTGTCTACACAGTGGAGGTAATCTATGTCAACTGAACATGTGAATTTAAATTAACTTCTAACTTGAATTGTTTGATGTACTTCAGCTAATCCACTTTAAAAGTTAATTCTGATTAATTTTCCTGAATCTCTCTCTGTAGACAAGGCCTGAGACGTTTTACTCCCAGCAAAACCCTGGTAACAAAACACAAGACTTAATGACGAGATTTCTCAAGTTTGAAATGTTAAGAGATCTTTGTCTTTCCACCACTTCTGACCCACATACTTCAAACCTTGTAACTACTGCAAGGGGATTAATCCTCACATTTCTGTCATGTTAACAGAGTCTTATTTTCAAATACTGTAAGCTAGCTGCAGGAAACCAAACAAAGTTGCTTATACCTATCAAAAGTATTTAAGAAAAATCAGGAACAACCTCATGTCACACATATTAATCAGAAAATCATCTACCCTCTTCAAATAAATGATAAAAAAGGTATTTAGCCTAAAATTTGTCAGAGATGTTTGCTCACAGAGGTCTTTTAAAAACCTACTCTCCTCCAGTTAAAAAGTTCAGCTCTGAAGTTAACACCAACGTTCCGGGCTGCTCTTAGAAAAACGATGCTAGAGATATTAATGAAATTCTGGGCAAGTAGCACCATCCAGTGGAGAAAAGTGTCGTTTCTTTAGATACTTCTGCTTCGCTCTTAACTCAGGTGCCCCACTATTTGGAAAAGGTCAACTGCTAAACTGCCCAGACAAATATGTGCATCAGACAAGGAATTAAACCACAATTTTCCAAAAGTAAGATAGGAGGCACTCGAGTTCTGGTAAACCCAGTTCAGTTTCCAAAACGACCAAATCCTATGTTTTCATTCATAAATCCTTCTGACACAGTATCCCATCTTCTAGTTTTGCCCGTATCTCTATAGCATCTGGGATTATGGGATCCCATCCAAGCCAGAGCTGTGGGTCTATATATGGTGATAACACGGACGATAATAAACAGGTGGAATTTGTCTTCAATGACCGGGAAAAGAAAAAGATACAGTTCACAGATAGGATTTTTTTTTTTTATTTCAAGCTAGTAAACTCATCAATACAGGGTTTTTTTTTTTTACCCCCAAAATGAGAATCACTAAGATAGACAATAAGTTTATTAAAAATTTTGATTTAAAAATAAGTGAAAAATAAAAGCTAACCTTTTGCCCGTTTCTGCTATTAATATGCTTTTTAAATTTAAACTACATAAGCACAAAGTTTTGGGTTTACCCTTTATTTGTTATTTTAGGTTCGTGAAATGCATGTGTTTTCACAGATGTAGTAAAATCAATTAAGCCCCACCCATATGTCTCCTTCTCTTTCTCAATATGAGCATCTGAACTTGATCCAGAATTGCAAACAAAAATACAAGTGGGTAACACAGCCTTACTGCACTTGCAAGTGATAAACAAAAACATACAATTCTGGGAAGGTGGGTCTCAGTAGCTAGATTTGTTTTTAAGATAATCGATTTCCAAAGCATTTTTTTTGGGGGGGGGGGGGGGGGGGAGGGGGCTTTTCACTAGGTACAGAAGCATTAACGTAGCATTACAATATTGAAAACTGCAGGGTCAAATTGCAGGGTCAAACTAAAAAGAAAAAAAATTCTCAAAAATGGTACCACCAAAGTTTACATCTGAAATAATCAGAAAATTATATATGTAAAAGCAATTTTATTTTTAACAATTCAAATCTGTATTTCCCAAAGGAAATCAGATTTTCTATTTAGTCATTATCCTTATGTCCATCTTTCCCACAGTCAAGGAAATGAATTTATTAGACCTTCTGTCCTGATTTTCAAGGTGTCCTGACAACAGTTAATCTTACCAATACCACCTAAGGACATTAGCAATCACACCGAAGTATACTAGAGCTGTTACACAGAAAACTGCACTCATGGAAGATTTTATAACTATTATTAGAACAACTTCTTGTGTCATTTGCACTCTGCACTAATAAAATGAAATACTGTGTGTGTGTAATTGAACTATTTACATGCAATTTTAAACTTACTACAGAAAGCTACTTTGCAGAAACGCTTCTTGAATTTGGAAGATAAAGTACCAAAAGTTTTTTGTTTCTAGAAAAAAACAAAACACCATCATTCCCACTTTGGGCCAACCCCAAGAAAGTTCTTAGTCTTGAACAGACGAACTTTACCCGAAGAGAAATTATCAACTGGGATATTCACCCCAAGGCTTTAATCAGCTCTGTTAAGATATAGGGAGCCCAAGCCTTCAAGCATCTCCGAGATATGAGCGAAGCCCTCTTTCATTCCAGCATCAGGGAAAAAAATAAATAAGAAAAAAACACTCAGATAGCTTGTAACAACATGGAAAACCTTCACAAGTGCTTTATTCAGCAACACATTTATGCGAAAGGCTCACAAGAAACAGCCTCGCCTTGAACACGAGCTCTCCCAGTGAGTCCAGGGGATCTACTACACGTAAAAGATCCACGCAAGCTGGTACCTTTACTGAAGCACCGGCCTAAAATCCTTTATAATCTGCTCTCTCCTCCTGCCAAGCGGAATTTAGCCCTGACCCCCCAAATCCCCGGCTTGGGGGCACCGGCCCAGGGAGCGCAACCCCCCGGCTCCCGCCACGACCCCCT